ACGGCTGCCCCGGCCCTCCCCGGGGCTTCTGGTTTTTAAACTCGTCCCATCTATCACTTCCAACCTGACTATCGCCCGACACCAACTGTTGCAAGTTCCGCACCACTGCTTCTCTTAACTTCTCGGGCGAAACTGCCCCTCCGGGGAGCCCCGTGGAGGAGCAGAAATAGGAATAAATGCCCGGATGCCCCTGGAGGCACTGAGCCCCGAGGTTTTCAAAGGTGAAGTGTGTAATTTGGTTTTAAGTTATCAGAGTACTTCGCGGATATTCTAGTAAGCCCCATTTAAAAAAGAAGAAGCAGCGTTGTAAGTCAAATAAAAAGCCTACGGGAGCTCTACTAGCAAGACTGAAAGTCTTCAGAGGGCTGAGGAAAATTATGCTCATAGAGAATGGATTTCAAACGACAGTTTAAGAATATGTTGGAAAATACCCTCAGATCCGTGGTTCAGGAAACATTTCTATCAGGATTTCCAGGTGCCTTCTGGGAAAATTAAACCACCTTGCACAGGGAGCTACATCTTCCATTTAAACGTAACAGTATTAATTACTTGATTTTTGAAAGAGAGAGGAACGAGCAAGAAGGAAATAGGAAAAGAAAAAACGGAAATAACTCTATACCAATACGTCTAGTTCCCTAAGACTCTGACCTCTTTCCCACCCTTAGGGTTTAAGGACAGTGCATTCCTTCTGAATATTAAATTTAAATAATTATTGTAGGTAAAACGAAATCATCACTTGACCTCAAGTGATCTCACTGATGTATATCAAGTCGAAGGTTCTGGGTCTGTGAATAGGGAGAGCACACTGGCGTGGGAGGTGGTGTGACTACCCCGGAGAACTATTTGGGTCGAGTGAGATGTCTGGGTAGTGGGCACCTTTGTTCCTCCGCCCGGTCTTAAAGCCAGTTAGATTTCCACAGTTCTCAAAAGACCACACTGTTTCATTTCTTTAAGACTGTACACCATCAACCATACTTGATGGTGCTTACCTGGTAATACCAGCATTCTGAAAGGCTGAGAGACGAAAGGATAGTAAATCCCAGGCCAGGCTTGGCAACATGATGAGACCGTGTCTCCAAACAAAGACTACTGTCTAATAAACAAGCTCTTCCGAATTCACCGAGTTTCTATACGGTTCATCTACCCTGAGTTGGGAGCGGAGCTGAAAGGGAGCAAAGGCTTGCTAGGAGCAAGCGTCCGGTGCCTACCACTAACTAGCAGGAAACTCTCTCCACCACTAGATGGTGACTTTCAATCTTGGAGATTTTTAGGCAACTCCTGTGGAGGTTGGAGGAAGTGTTTCATAAAGGTTTGTTGTTGTTTTTAATACGTGAGCAATGTGTAATTCTAAAAGTAATTAATAATGTCGTTTTTCAAATCACCACCCATGTGTTTTAAAACAAATAAGTCAAGGGTAATGATTTCTCAACATAATCTCTTAGAGCAGTGGGTTCTCAACCTTCCTAATGCCTTGACCCTTTAATACAGTTCCTCATGTGGTGACTGCCAACCATAAAATTATTTTCATTGCTACTTCATAACTGTAATTTTACTACTGTTATGAATCATCATTAAATATTTTTGGAGATAGAGGTTTACCAAAGAGGCCATGACCCACAGATTAAGAACTGGTGTCTTAGATTCTCAAACAGATAGATTCAGAGAACTCTAGGGGCTTCAGAGATTAATTCTAAATTGAAACAAGCATTCTTTCATTTTAGTCAGAAGCTTAGACAAGTCAGATCACATAGCAGAAAGTTTGGGGTGGGTGTGGGTGTGGGTGGGGGGAGCAGGCAAAAGCCAGGGAATAAGTCCTAATTCCCAACTTAATGCTACTTACACTACTCCACTGTGTAAGTTCAGAGTTTCTACTTTATTTGTTTCAAGCTGAGAACCAACGTATATTTGACTCCTCACAATGCTTTTTGAAAGAGAATATGGCAGATTGTAGTAATAATGGTTTATGCCAGGCAGTGGTGGCCCACGCCCTTAATCCCAGCACTGGGAAGACACCCAGTGAGTTTGAGGTCAGCCTGGTCTACAAAGAGAGTTCCAAGACAGTCAAGGCTACACAGAGAAACCCTATCTCAAAAATAAATAAATAAATAGTTAGATAGATAGACAGATAAATAATTCCTCCTCCCCCCCCCCCACGACAAGGTTTCTCTGTAGTTTTGGAGCCTGTCCTGGATCTTGCTCTGTAGTCCAGGCTGGCCTCAAATTCACAGAGATCCACCTGCCTCTGCCTCCTGAGTGCTGGGATTGAAAGTGTGCACCACCGCTGCCCGGCAAATAAATAAATAATTAATAATAATAACAATGGTGTATTTAGTATTGACTATTTTGCTTCATCAGAATAATAATGTGAAGTAGGTATTATTTTACCACCCTTTTCAGTGCAGGGACTGTTATAATTTGGCAGTGAATTCGTGTGTTTGTGTGTCTGAACACTTGGTCCTCAGCTGGTGGCACTGTTTGGGGATGTTGTAGAGACCTTTGGACATGCACCCTAACTGGCAGATACAGGGCTGAGGCGCGTCTTGAGAACTATAATCTGGCTCAGCTTCTGCCCCGAACTCTGGGTTTCTTGGTGAATGCCATGCACCCGGCAGCTGCTGCAGACTTCTGACCTCACAGAAACACCACCACCATGCCTTCCTCCCGTGATGAACTCTAGTCCTTTCTTCTCTCAGATCATGAGCCAGAACAAATCTTTCCTTAAGTTGTTTGCTCACATATTTTTGTCACAGCAATGAGAAAAACAATACAGAAAAATTGGAGCCAAGATGTAGGGCCACTGATGTAAGAACTAGTTTGGAGCCCTGCACCAGAATCCTACTACTCTAGAGAATCCTAGAGTACTGTATACAGAGCTCAAGAGGCCACTGTGGTGGGAGTTGGGGAGATCACAATTCCAATGGAAAAGCACAGTGTTTACTGTGCTCATGGGGTTTCAGGGGAAAGCAAGTTCTTTTGGGAACAGGGCCAAAGGCCATTTGCATTACAGTCTGGCAAAGAATCTGGCTGTATCTGCCTATAACCTGAAAGTCTAAGTGAGTCTGAGATTTAAAGTTGGACTAATTTGTTTGATAAAAGAACTTTTAAGATAGCATATAAGCTGGGCAGTGATGGTGCACACCTTTAATCCCAGCACTCGGGAGGCAGGGGCAGGTGGATCTCTGTGAGTTTGTGGCCAGCCTGGTCTCCAGAGTAAGTTCCAGGACAGCCAGAGCTGTTAAACAGAGAAACCCTGTCTCAAAAAAACAAAACAACAACAACAACAAAAAGAGCATATAAATTAGTCTGTGGCATAGTTATTATTCACTTCCAATAGCCAGGTTTACAGTGAGAATTCTAGATAGAAAGATGTAGGAAATGTGCATTTTGATGAGGAAGGGGTTTTAAGCAAACATTACAAATAGAGTAGCTGCAAAATGGGGATAATTGTCAAATTAAATGTTAATTGCACAATTAAATAGAAACCTACCAGCCTGTCCAGGAACAATAGGAATGGTACCTTGCGGGTACCCTCCGTCCATAGAAGGCTCCAGGATGCCTTGCCCCAGTAGTACCATCTAGGAAGACTATTGTTGTTTGTTTTTGCTCTTTTGGGGGCCTGCCACCCAGCTCCCAAATAAATCACATTTATTAATATCTGGCCTTAACTTGGCTTGTTGCTAGCCAGCTCTACTTAACTTATCCCATCTTTCTTTTGTCTCAGGGGCTTTTACCTTTCTCTATTCCTGTATGCCTTTTCTTTCCTTCTTACTCTGTGCTGGCTGTGTATCTGGGAGGCTAGCCCCTGATGTCCTCCCCCTTCTCT